AACCCCCCCCCCCCCCCCACTACGTGGCTGAAAATGAGAAGCAGCCGAATATTAAGTCCTCGTGCAGCATTAGAATAAACACGTGGCGTGCTAAATCAAAATCCAATTCTGTGCTCCATTATTTTCTGCCATAGTAATGACTGCCACGGATTAGGAATCAATATTTCACTGCAGCAGGACCGGACCAGCTTCTTTCACATCCTGAGACCAGGAACAGGCTCAAACCCAGGACCAGGACCAGGACCAGGACCAGGACCAGGACAGATCATCAAACATTCACCTTGAGACCGACTGCAGGTCCAAAGAAGATTCAAACTTCAGATTTTCTTCACCTGCGACCTAAATCGATCCTTCATCTTCATCATCATCTTCATCATCATCATCATCATCATGGACCAAGAAAAGGCTGCTCCTCAGCGCTGAGACACAACTGCTCCTCACACACACACACACACACACGCACACACACACACACACACACACACACACACGTGCACGCGCACACAAAGATAAGAGCCTCCTGACGCGGGCGGATTAATTTGTAGCCAATTAGAAGGAGCAGAGTTAAAGAGAAGCATAAATAAGGAGGAGGATCCACTCAGACCCGGATCTGGACTGGTGAGTGTGTGTGTGTGTGTGGGGGGGGGGGGGGGGGTGTCCCTCAGATGGGGGTCCACAGAAACGGAGGGGAGGAGAAACGGAGCTCCTCAGAACCAACGAGGAGCGACAGGAGGAGGTTCTGGGTTCGGACCGCGCGCAGACCAGAGACCGTCCATCTCGCCCCTCCCACCGGACCCAGGACGGGCCGGGACCAGCGGACTTCACAGCAGGTCAGGACGGGTCGGGTCTGACACACACCCGGCTCTAGAGAAGTCCGGGCGGCGAAGGATGCGGCGGGAAAACCCGAACCGAACCGGGCAGAAGGAAGAAACTTTGTTCTGGTGAGGCTGAGCCCCTCAACCTGTCCACAGAACCGGGTCCTGGTGCTGGAGCCCTGAAGTCAGCATGAGTCCAAAACCTCTTTAGAACCAGCTCACAAAACTTTCCTGATTTTTGTTCTGGACCCATTTGATGGGACAGGAGGACTAAAGACATGAACCGGGACAGAGGAGCAGGACCGGACGGGATTCAGGCCGTCATAAATCGGGACAGAACCGCAGCAGGACACCTGGAGGACCCGGTCCAGACCCCACTGAGCCGGGACAAAGCGGTTCTTCAGGTTCCGAACTGCGGGGACGGACTGCAGACCCTGGTGGGTCCGGACAGTGGGGACATGCTGGACTCAGCCGGTACCGTGGACAAGCGGATCTTCTCCGGCTCCGTGTCCGGAGGCAGAGAGGCTCAGGCCGTGGAGAACCACACGGAACCGCCCCCCACCAACCCGGTCTTAGTCCCGCCACAACAGGTAGGCTCCGAACCTCCCGGAGGTTCTGGATCACCATCTGGGATTAGTCTCAGAACTCTGATAGACTTCAAGGACCGGACCGGTGAGCAGGTCCGGTCCATTCACACGTGGTCCCGATCCAAAGTGAAGCCGAGAGACAAGAATCAACGAAACAAGAAGAATTTATTAAATAATAATCAGATTAAACTTGACAGATTAATAAAGTCATACAATAATCTGAAGGGAAGAAAGCTTCAGAAAAATAATATAAAATAAAATAAACAAATCCACCAATAGATAAATAAACAAATAAATATTTGTAGCCTATTTATTATTATTATTATTATTATTATTATTTATACCAAATAATGCATCGATCAATATTTTTAAAAAAAAAACTTCAAAAAATAAAACGTGTCACGTCCCAACTCTGAGCTAAATAATAATAATAATAATAATAATAATAACAATAATAATAAAATATTTAAGATGAGTTTATTATTTAATTGAATCAAAGAAATAAAACTATTATTTTATATTAAAAAATCAAATAATTATAATATTTTATGGTTTTAATTCCTGAATCAAATAATCTTAAATCACAGATAAATTAATCCAGATTTAATTTCAACACAGACGAGTTTAAAATGTTCTGATCCTCAGACCCGGTCCAGTTTTACTGCAACTTTTATTATTATTATTATTATTATTGTTATTATTATTATTATTATTATTATTATTATTATATTATTATTATTATTATTATTATTGTTATTATTATTATTATTATTATTATTATTATTATTATTATTATTATTACCCTTGTTGTTGTTATTGTGTAAATGAAATAAACAAAGTTGTACAATCACGGACGTGCCGGTAACTTGCTGGTCTCTGGTCTCCAGGGCCCCCCCGGACACCGGACCACGTCCTTCTCGGTTCTGGACATTCTGGACCCGAACAAGTTCACGAGCCGCCGGCAGCAGCTGGGCCTGCGGGGGGAGCGGAGCGAGGAGGCCGGCAGGAGCTGCTGTGGAGCCGAGGACTACCAGGACAGTAAGTATCGAACCGAACCGAGCCGAGCCGGAGGGTTCTGAAGTTCAGCAGTTCTGAAGTGGACCGGAAGCTAAAGGTTTAGTTTCTGGTGAAATCTTTGCATTTCGATTGGATCCATTCAAAATATGAACGCATTGATTTCAAATGATTATTAGCAGCTGGTGCAACAGAGCTGCTGCCTCTCAGCAGGTCGCTGGTTCAAATCCCGGCCCGGGGGCCCTTCTGGGTGGAGTTTGCATGTTCTCTCCGTGCATGCGTGGGTTTACTCCGGGTGCTCCGGTTTCCTCCCACAGACCAAAAACATGCATGTTAGGCTGATTGGTAACTCTAAATCGTCTCTAGGTGTGAGAGAGAATGGTTGTTTGTCTCTATGTGTCCCTGTGATGGACTGGAGACATGTCCAGGGTGTCCCCCGTCCCTCACACAGTGATTGCTGGACATGGGCACCGGCGACCCCCGTGACCCAAAATGGAAGAAGCGGGTAAAGATGATGGATGGATGGATGGATGGATGGATGGATGGATGGATGGATGGATGGATGGATGGATGATGGAATATTTATATAAAAAAGATCAAAAGCTGCGGCCGCTTCAGGACAGGCTGCTTCGAGGCTCCGTCTAATTCCTGGCGCGGTGTGTGAAGCAGCACTGACACCGGGTCAACCAGAACCAGCTCGGATCTTCTCTCTTCTCTTTGTTAATATTATTCAAATGAAATGGAAATCACAGCTAGGTGCGTTTCTCCTTTTTCTGCTTATTTTTTTTATTTTTAATTAGTTTTTGTTTCTTTTTCTCAATTTTTTAAAGTTTGACATTTTTCATGTTTTTTTTTACTTCAAAAAATATATATATATTTTTTTAACTTAACAGATTATAGATCTGAAACAGCTTTTGAAAGTTAAATTTTAATTCTTAAAATAAAATGTTCAACAGCAGATATCAAAATATAAAACAATAAATTTAGATTTAATGACATCTGAGTCAAAATGCATTACTTATTAAAATATTATTATTATTATTATTACTAATATTAAATTTTAGACAGAAATTGTTTTTAACTGTTTTTATTTCTGCCAACAAATAAAATGTTGAGTTTGTTGTTTAATGTTTCCATGGTATTTTTTTTTTCTGACTTATTTCCTGGAGCATCAAAGTGAAAGCTTTAGTTTTTTAGGCTGAAATAAAAACATCTCTAATTAATTCAGTTCACAAGTTTTATTATTTTATCTTTTGTTTTTCTTAATTTGGCTGTAAAGTCACAAAAAGTCATCTGAAAAGAAAAACCTTGAATTTGATTTCTGTTTAATTCACGAATCAGAGAAACAAACTCGGTTAGTTTGTTTTTCCTTCATATTTTAAATCGAGTCCTCTGCAGGACTTTTACTGGGGGGGGGGGGGGGGGGTCAAGGGTCAAAGGTCAGAGGTTAGGGAGTTAAAACCAGAGAAAATTGGAACATTTTTAGAAAACAATTGCTCTTTTTTACTTTTATTTCAGTCTGCACATTTATTTATTTATTTATTTATTTGTTTATTCATTCATTCATTTATAAATTCATTCATTGAGCTGCAGCCTGAAGGCCTCTCTGAAGAATCAGATGAATAATTTTAGCTGAAAACAGCTAAAATTATTCAGTTCCTTAACAAGATGGATCCAGTTCCAGCTCGGAACCATCAGGACCAGGAGCCCTGTCCCACCAGGTCTCTCGAAGGCATTTGCTTCTAAAAACATCTGATTTCAATATTTGATGCACAATGATTCAAAATAAATCGATCAAATGATTCAAAATAAAATCAACATTTCTGATCTGGGTTTTTTTCTGTTTAACACCAAACCAAAATTCTCGTGAAACCAGATGTAGATCCCGGTTTCTGGGTTTGGGTTCTGCTCGGTGGTGGAGCTACAGTCAGAACCACATCTGGACGGGAACGCGTCAGAAACAGTTCAAGTCCCTGAAGAACCAGAACCTGTTGGAGCCACAACATTCAAACACATTTCATCTGAAACAATTTCAACAAATATATTTTATCAAACTAAAACAGCAAATTAAAAAAAGAACAAATAAATAAATAAACCTTTGTGTTTGAAGGTCAAGTCAACATTGTTCCTCCTTTAAATGTTTTGTACATTTTCTCAGCACAAGATCAGAATTATACATACAGGCCGGAAGAGAGGCAGCAAGTTTTCAGCCCCTCCTGTCCTTTTTTCTGTTCTGTTGCCCTAAAACCTAAAAATATATATATTTTTAATCTGATTAAAGATTATAATTCTGCAGAAATACTTCAGATAAATAAAGTAAATGTGGGGAACATAGTTTTGAACAATTGAAAAAGATAAAAGTGTAAAGTGTTGCATGAGCTTGTAGAGCTGCAGCAGTTCTGTCTCCACGGTCCTGGTCCAAACATCTCCAGCTCCTTCAGGGTGCATTGCTGCTGCTTCTGTCCAGCAATCCTGAAATAAATCAGAGCTTCTCAGCTGGACTCAGGTCTGGCTTAAACTGGACCATTCCAGGACCTTCAACAGGTTTTCCTTAAACCAGTGGGGTCTTGTTTAGCATAAGCTCTCTGGAAGACATCATGGTGCTGCCACCACCATGCTTCACTGTAGGGATGGTGGTCTTCTAGTGGTCCTATGGACTTCCAGCAGCTCCAGGGTTATCTGGTCTCCTGGATGTTGGTGTGATTCAAGCGCTCCATGAGTTTTGGTGCTCAGCCCTGGGCAGGTTTGCTGTGGTGGTTCAGAGTTTGATGTACTCTTTGATGACCCAGCTCACATCTGTACTGTGCACGTACTCATGCACGTTTTACAAAGAATCATTTAAAACGAGCTGATTTTTCACATTGACCTTTATTAACCTGGAGAATGTTCTTTAACTAACCTCAAATCAGACAAGGTTGGGCTTTGTGTTAAATAAAAAATAGACCAGTAAATTTCAAACACACGTTTTACTCATAAAACAAAGGAAATACAAATTTAATATAAGAAGTCGTATCATTTACATTAAAAAAACACAATAAAAGTCATTTCATGGCAACACATGTGGCCAGATGTAAGAAGGCCTTTCAGATGTTGGGCAGCGTCATCCGGTCAGGAAGTGGTTCTGGTCCTGTTGGACCCGACTGAGTCCAGTTCCAGTGGTTTAGCTCATGCAAGCTGTGGCTCTTTGTGGCTTTGACTCATAATTTGGAAAATAAAAATATTCACAGAAAGGAGTAGCTGAAGCAGTTTTAATTTGATGTTTTATTTAAATATGTGGCTGAGCTTCCTTTGACAGAGTGACGTGAATGACACGTGCACGGTGCCTTCAGGGCCCCGTGGCACAGGAAGCAGCTCAGCCGCAGGCTGGAGCCGGGCCTCCACACTGAGCTGAGGCCGAGCGGACAGACAGCTGCAACAAGAACCAGCACAAAACGTCCGAGTCATGACTGACACTGAACACACGCTCCGCTGGAGCTCAACGCACCACGTGCACAGAGCTGCAGGTTCTGGAGGCGCACGCTGAACCTCCACACCCAACCAGCCACACAGAACTTATTCTCCCTTTTTAAACTTCATTTGAAACTCACACACTTTTGATACATCTCAAAGAAAAGGACAACGAACCAAACACTAAATTAAATAATTAAATAAATAAATAATTATATGGATCTTTTCTTTTTCTTCTTCTTCTGGCTGCTCCCTTCTTCAGGGGTCGCCACAGCAACTAACTCATTCAAAGACGTGATAGTTGTTTTTACACCGGACGTCCTTCCTGACACACCACAGCCCTGTGTGGAGCAGAGAGCTGCTCTCTAGGGTGCCTGGGGGAGCACATGGTGGGGGTCAGAGGCGGACTGGCCATCGGGAGCGCCGGGACACTTCCCGGTGGCCTGGTTGCCGAGGAACGGGACTAAAGGCTCGGTTCGGGTCGCACGGACTTTATTATTTTAAATAAACAATTCACTTTTGCCTGGGCTCAGGTCTCACGCTGCACTGCAGCGACGGAGAAAGCCTGGCACATCCCCCGGCCGGGCCGGCCCCCTCCCTTCCTTTTCTGTGTGTCACTCACAGAGCAGAGACACACACACACACATTGCGCCCGCCCCCCTCCCCGCCCTAG